ATCTGGAAATTCACTTGAAGTTAATAAAACTTCAAATAAAAATTTTTTATGCAAATAGCCAAACAGATCAAATTCTTGAAGTTTACTATATATATTAACACATTGGTTTAATTTTAAAATTTGATATATATACATTTCACAGAAAAATATTTGATAACACGTATTGCTAACTGCGATTTGTTTCTCACACGTCATTAATACGATATTAGATATAAAAAAGATTAGAGCAATTTATTAGTTTTCTAAGATTGGTGATGCTGTGTGCTTAGTAGAATTTTAATGTAATCATTTAGTTTTGAACTTCTAACGGACAATATAACGTCAACTCTTAAGGGTACAGTCATCAACTGAATCAAATCAATTAATCACTTAAGTAAAACAGATCAAAATTGATCAATTAAAAATGTATAGTGTGGCGCTCCATTATACACGTTTGGTAGATTGCCTAAAGCTTTTTAACATACTCTTCAGTTCTGACATTTTCAGAGTATAACTTGTTCCGGTCTCCACAATATGTTTTAGATGACAAAACATTTATTTCAAATGGGGACGTTTAAAATAGCTTAGATCAGTTTTTACAGGAAAATTTAAAAATTTTTTAAGAAAATAATATTTCATTTTCACCAAAAACAAAACAAAGTTACTTTCCGAATAACCAACTAAAATAAATCTAAAAATTCTTACCGGGCAACTTATATACATATAATACATGTTACTTTTTAATCATTTTATATTACTTTATTTATATAATATTCGAATAAAAATATATTTTGTATTTAAAATGATTAATCTTTGCGAAAATTAACAAAATTGTTCGTCATCGTAAAAATATTCATTTGACTTGCGGTTATTATATAGTAAATATTAAAGCCAAGGTCCTCAAGGAAAATTTATTAGTTCTATATTGAAAGTAAATATTTTTTAATTAATCTTAACAAACAATTGTGCTTATTATAATCAATTTGAGTTTAAATTGTATAAATTATAAAAGAATTTTTTTATTATCACTATCTTATACTAGCTATATGGCATCGATATTTATTATCAATTAATATTAAAATACAATTTATTTTGATGAATTATATACTTTTATTGTAGAACTTGTACAGTACTATGTATGTGTTTTTATCTTTGTGTCTTTTGAAATGATAGTTACTTCCCAAATAAAAAACGTTCGCTTTACTCTAAGTAAAGGTCGAATGACATCACAAAATATAAATCAATGGGAACGAGCATTTTATTTTCGAGAACTTAAAATCTTTTATGTTAAAATTGAAATCAGGAAAGCTTAATCACGTGCTGGGCTTATATATTTTATCTTAGGTGTGGACAAATGTAAATATTAAATAAATAGAAAAAAAAAATCAATTCGAATTAAAAATGTTTATGAAAATATTTACTTTAATTTAATTAAAATAAGATTTCATATCTCAACGCATATCGTAGATGCTAAATAGTATTTTTTTTACATTCCGTCAGCTTTTATCCTTGTTACATTGTGTAGTTTATAAATTGAATATATTTTATGCAAAACACAATTTCAAACATAATATCTTATTTTTTTTAGTTTCATTTATTAACACATTTTACTACATTAAATGAATCACTCAAAGATAATTTATTTGTATATATTATATTTTGTTCTTTTTTTTTTGTTGTTTTTTGATTTAATTTTATTTTTCACAATTCATTTAAATGTATTATAAAAATAATTATTTCCGCATTTTTCCGAACGATATGGCGCACGACTCAAAACTGCATTCAAAATTTATTGGAAAATTTTACTTTACATTTTCATTGTGATTATCTGAAAAAGCTCCCAAATAATTTATACCTGCGCACTAATATTGTTGTTATTTGGCATCCTTTGTTTTGTTGTTGTGTAAAAAACTACATAAAACTACCCCACGAATAAATATTAAAGCACAAGAAATTCATGTTTTCCTCTTTAAGCTTTTATATGTCAAATTTTGTTTACATTCGAAGAATAATGCCACATTATAATATTTGCTCGTCTATTTATATAAAATATAATATAACTCAAAATTTTTATTTCTTAAGTTAATGTGAATAAATTAGAATGTTTTTATATTTGTTTCAATATTTGTTCAGTACACATTTCATCTGAAACGGTTTTTAATATTTAACTATTTTGCAAGTAATATTTATAATTTAAAAAATTTCTTCTCAATTCAATTAAAAAATATATAAATCTAAAAAAAATTTAAATGTAAATTAAAAATGCATACCGAATTAAATTAAGCGGAATAAATCACCATCTTTCGAATGATAATTGTTCTAAATATAACTTCCTTAGCTTCAGTTAAAAGTGGTCAAAGGAGCTGGTTTCTTAATATGATATGTAAAAAACACTTGATTAATAAAAACACACTTAGCATAGTTTATGTACTACGTGACGCAACTCAAAATGTAAAAGAAGATTACCTTGAATACTCTTTAAACACTCGGAAGCTTTCAATTACGTAGACAAGATCTGCTTCCCTGGATAAATAACCGTTATAAAATCCATTAGAAAACTGACTACTTTTTCGCTAATAAGTCAAACTGCAAGCAATTTTGATCCCACAATCAACAGGTATAATTTTATTCACCTCGGTGTTAATATCATGTTTACATTACGTACTTTAGGAAACGAACTTTGCCAAAGTTGATTCCCAAACGTCAAACTTTTAAATTCGGATTTTCATTTGGACAATTATTGGTTTTTTGAACCACGAGCTACTCGTAGTAACTTTAAGTAACATTATGTATACACAAGTGCGTTCCACCAGCAAATTTTCGAGTAAATCAGAGCACCTGAGTGTAACATCCCTGTTGAAACTTGAAAATGCTACATAGACTTCACTTGTACATTATATTAAAAATAAAATTTGTGTTGATAGGTGAATCAACTGTTTTGGTTTGAATCACGATTGCCACTTATGGTACTTTAGTACCAAAATTGGTACTTTTTTTTCCGTTTGGTACTCTGGTACTCATGTTCAAAAAATGGTACATTTTCGGCGACCCAACTTTATTGTGGATATTGTATTGTTTTATACTTTTTGTACATTTTATATAAATTGTATTTTCTTATAAAAAGACACTAGAAAAAACCAATTTTGGTACAGAAAAAAATTTTGAAGTGGCAACCGTGGTTTGAATTTAAATTCTTGTATTGTTTATTTGCGCGACACTGGTGTTCTTATCAGACTTTACACAAAGCTGTTATATGAAAATCTGTGTAAAGAGCGTATTTCGGCACTTTATTTGTGTTACACTCTCAGTTTATACTTTACTTACGTTTTACTTGAGATTTACTACGAGTAGCTCGTGGAACAGACCTAATATATTGCTCAGCAATCAGCTGGAAACGTTCTTGTGAAAACATGGGTTGTTATTCATAAATAAATATTGTAAAATTTATTATTTTTTTATAAAAATGATATAAACTGGTGAAAAATGTATATTCTTTGCGTCTTTCAATTGGTATATAAACATCAGATCTCTGTTGCGTATTTTCCAAATCATACGGAAAAAAACGCAAATATATATTTTTAAAAGTTACTTTTTGAAGAATCTAAAAATGGTACCAATTTCCACGGAAATACTTCTAATAGAGAAGTAACTAAACTATCATTAAAAACAAAGATCACAAATATGGTATTACAATTTTGTGAAATTTAAAGAGAAAGTCAAGCTTCTAAATTTCAAGTGTTGTAAAAAATGTCCGTTTCTAAAGTATTCAATTATGTCCCTGTTTATAATCTCGCCATATTTTGGTAGTGCATACACCAGGTAAATTTCAGTTGGAACTCAATGGTAAAATTACAAATATCATTTTGTGCCAAATCAATTGTTATACTAACTAAACTAAATTTCAAACTACAGCTAAATCATAACGGACGTTAAAAAAAATAGCAGAACATAGAAAAAATCATTAATTATGACAGAGTACACACAAAACAAAACAGCATAACACCACAAACAACAAATATTCAATTCGATCATTATATACTTCAGGTGATATAAGATTCCTACTACATTTATGTCAACAAATCAAAAATGAATGTTTTCAAAAATGAATACAAAATTGCTTTTAACAAGCTAAACACCACACATATTAAAGGCTCAGTTGGTCGGCACGCTCCGTAAGAACTTAAGTCAAAGCGAAATACACAACCAACCAGACCTATGTATTTAATAGGACTGAAGAAAACAAAAACGGCGAACTTAAGCAAACTTTGAAACAAAATGGAAAAATCAAATTTAATCAGATTTCCTTGTTGAGGGTAAGTAAAAAAATATTTTAATGAATTTATTTTGTTAATCATATGTTTACAATAGTTTGATATTGCTTGATATCGATTTTATTTCTACATACCAGAAATGCTCACATATATAATTAATAGAACATATTTAATTAATAATAAAAATGGAAGAAAATTCTTATTAATTAATAATAAAAAAAATGAAATATATAACTTAAAAATATGAAATACAAAAATACAAAAATGTTAAGATAAGCAATATAGGAGATATTAGTATAGGAAGGCATAAATAACTCGCGAATTTGATTTCGCATTCTACACAAACCCAATATGTTCAGAAGCATATTTAAAAAAAGTGTTTCCGTGCAAAAATAAAATGAAATATGCAATGTCACTAACAATAATTATCTTTAATTTAACATAAAATATTTTCATTATTATTTTACGAGCACATTTTGAAAACAATTTGTTTACTTATTCAAATGTAAGCAAAATCAGCTGCTTACGTACGCTCTTTTGAGTAGAGCGAAAGTAACTGCGCCTTGATACTCACATTTTTAGAAAAATAGGACAAACGAAAAATAATTTTACAACATACCAACACTGGATAAAATATATATCATGCCAGCACCACTTGTCAAAAGTTTTGTTTTCCTCCAAAGCGGTATGTCGGAGTGTCATGCTTGCTTAATTATATCTTTTAATTTAAATAGCTTAATAAGATTATTAATAGACTTATAAGATTGTTGTATGTATTATTTTAAATAATTGTTCAATAAAAACCGCATCATTTTTTCGAGTGGAACTGTTTGTGTAAAGATAATGTTAACATAATTCATTTGAATTTTATGGTGAAAACAAGCGGACAATGTGCGATATATGAGAACAATTGTTTACTTATCGAAATCCACAGTGTTAAAAGTTTTATTTTAAATGTGTATTTATAATAATACATAAACAAAATGACAACACCGGAAATAAAATATGTGACGGAGGTGCCAAGCAGTTTGAAACAATTAGCACGGCTCGTTGTTCGAGGATTTTATTCCATAGAAGATGCACTTATAATTGATATGTTAGTTCGAAATCCCTGTATGAAGGAAGACGATATAGCCGAGTTATTACGTTTTGAGAAAAAGCAATTACGTTCTCGAATATCTATCTTGCGAAATGACAAATTCATACAAATGCGCTTAAAGATGGAAACCGGTCCAGATGGAAAGGCTCAAAAAGTAAATTATTACTTCATAAATTATAAAAGTTTTGTCAATGTTGTAAAATATAAACTGGATATAATGCGTAAACGTATGGAAACAGAGGAACGTGATGCTACAAGTAGGGCCAGTTTCAAATGCACATCTTGCGGTAAAACTTTTACCGATTTGGAAGCAGATCAACTATTTGACATGGAATCTCAAGAATTTCGCTGTACATATTGTGGTGATCCTGTGGAAGAGGACACCTCAGCCATGCCAAAAAAGGACTCAAGACTAATGTTAGCAAGGTTTAACGATCAACTAGAGCCATTGTACGAATTACTTCGGGCAGTAGAGGGTATTAAATTAGCCCCGGAAATTTTGGAGCCAGAACCTGTGGATATAAATACGATACGAGGGTAAGTATTATAACATTATTTAAAGAGCTTATTTATAACAAGAAATACTTTCAGCGTTACGAAACCTTCTCAGCGAATCGATAGTCAGCAATGGTCTGGTGAAGCTACTCGTAATCAAGGTTTTACAGTTGAAGAAACAAGAATTGATATAAATCTAGGAGAAGAGTTGGTTGAAACTACTACTGAAAAGAAATCTCGACCAGTTTGGATGACAGAAAGTACAATTCAAAATGAATCAAATGTTGATGGTCCTGACACAATTACAAATGATTCATCACAATCATCAGTGCTTCTTACAACAACAACAACATCAAGTGGAACAGCTTATAACAGAAATAAAAAAGAAACCGAAGACACCATGTCCTTATTACTTCTGCATGAAAAACAGCCTGGACAAAAAGATCAATTTTCGAAAGATCTGAGATTTGGTTCCTCAAATCATAATTCAAGTGATTCCAGTGATGATGATAGAGACATTGAAAATACAGAAATTCGTAAATATGTTTCTTATTCTTTATAGAGTCAATTTCTTTAAAATATATTTTATTACAGCTGATATTGACCAAAATTTTATTGATTCTAATTCCGAAGATGATGTGCCCAGTGTTTTAGCTGGTGGCAAATCGTACCCAATAAACAAAATTAATGATGAGATAATTGCGCAAATGACAGAACAGGAAAAAGAGCATTACATACACGTTTATCAAGAACAATTCAGCGATATATATTATTAAGGAGTAAATCTGTTAATGCATTTCAAAAGTATCACGTTATTTTTATACGCTGAAGATATTATATAGATGTCTCTATGAATTGCAGCATACATTTTGGGTCATTAAGCAATAAAATAGCACTATCGTTGAAGGCGACTTAATGAAAAGCTACGCTTATAGGATTACAACATGTCCTGAATTTAGAATGCTGTTGGGACATTCTATTTATTACTGCAACCACATTGTTAATTAGAAGTTTTTAAAAATTGTTATAACTTAAATTTTGATACCGAAATATATAAAATTCGATAATAAATACAATTAATAAGAAATTTCAACCAATACAAATTTTTCTAAAAGGAATACCAACATTTTTCTTTAGCAGATAATTGAATTAACATAAAAAATTTTTTATATCAATAAAGCAATGAATTTAAAAACACAAGTAGAGAAATTGTAAATAGGTGAGTAGTAGAAGTTCACCACTTATTTGACGTTTAAGTGTCAATTGCTTCTTTATGCGGCTCAACCTACCACTTGGAAAATGTGGATTGCGGGAAGATGTTTAATGTGAATTGTGTAATTTCTAAAAAAATGAACGAAATAAATAAATTAAATATTATTTTGTATCTACAGTACGCTGAGATTATTTAATTGGCTGTGTACAATACCGTGAAATAATACATTCGCAAGTAGTTCAGTAAAATAAAAAAGATTAAAAATTCTGAACCACAAGTGAATGAGATAAAAAGTTCAAGTTTGATAAATATTATTTTATAGAAAAATAGTGCACATTAAAGCCAAATACATAATTTTTAAATCTGGCTGCTTAGTCAATATCTGTTAACCTAGGTGATCACTTTTGTCAGCCAAACAGCACATAGAACTTTTAATAAATTGATCGGTCTTCAAACAAAAGAAAAACAACAATGAAGCTTAGTGTGGATAAGGAGTTATTGCCTATGAAGGCGCATTATTTTCTTTTCAATGCTGGTAAATTTGTATAGAAATTAAAAATGTCAAAAAAAAATTGCATTGTGCCAAAGTCTATTCATCTCGGTCATATAATTAAGTGCTATCAAGATTCTTAATGTTTTTATTGTCATTGTTACACGCACAAAGATAACACTACATTGTATATAATTTTATTTGAAATCCAAAATTTATTTAAGAGATTACGTTTATTTATAGTTAAAATAGATACGACGAGCTTAATTTATCGCTATCCTCTACAAATTGTGGCGGATAGTCATAAAATAGATGTTCCTGTTTTAGCTTTTATTCTTATCACGTAACTCCTTAAAATCCGTAGCAAATATTGAATGAATCTTATATTTAAAATAAAACTGCAATTAATTTAAAGATGTTCACAAAATTAATATATTTTAGGAACTGCGCCAGTTGTACCATTTATGCCAACTTTGGCCCGACAATTAGGGTTTTCTGAAGTAGTTATCGGAACAATATATATGATCTTGCCAATAGTTGGAATGTTAGCAAAGCCATTTTTTGGATTTATTGCAGATCGGTAGGTATAAACAAGATTACAAACAAATAAAATATCTTATTGCTATGCATTTTTCACACTAGTTATCAACGTCACCGCATGCTCTTTCTTTGCGCAGAGGTGCTGACAGCAATAGCATTCTTTCTTATAATGTTCATTCCAGCTATTCCACAGCCTACGCCAACAATACAGTTTCATTGCAATTCTGGTTACTCCATTTTAAGACACTGTTCCGATCAATACAACTGTGTTGAGGCTAATTTAGAATCAAAATATGCCAACCAAACTCTAACGTGCAATATGCACTGCGAAGCTAAGCCACAAGTGTGGGATATAGTATGCGAAAACTGGCTACACAACGATACGAACTGCATAAAAAATCGAACTAATGAATATTTAGATTTTATAACATTTTTAAATATGAATGATATCATGCAGCAGGAAAAAGAAAAATGTATTTTATTCACATTAAAAAAGGACCAGGGTCAAATAAATGGACAAAATGTAACTTTGTACTGTCCAAAGGAACCACAATTCTTTAATTCAACTTGCACAATAGATTGCGGTGAGGAATACTTTTCAAGTCAACTTTCAAATGCTCCAGTTATAGAAAACAGTCAAGCTATGCGGTTGTATCAATTCTGGTTTCTATTTATTCTACTAATATTAAGTTGGATTGGAATGGCAGTTGTTGTAAGCATTGGCGATGCTATTTGTTTTTCTATTCTTGGAGAACGTCAACACTTATATGGGAATCAAAGACTTTACGGTTCAATCGGTTGGGGTGTGTTTTCCATTATAGCTGGTTTGTTAGTGGATCAAATGTCTCATGGCAGTGTTACGAAAGATTATACAATAGTTTTCTGGATGACAGCAATTATAATTGGATTTGATGTATTTGCTTCAACGAAGTTAAAGGTATTTTGATTATTTTAACTAACTGTATTTTTATAATTTATATTGTTTTTTCAACCAATCTATATTTCATAGCATACACAAACACATCTTTCGGCAAATATATTAAAAGATGTAGGTGCAATGTTTCTTTCAATACGGTGTGTTGTGTTCTTTCTATGGTGCATCTTTATTGGACTTTGTACTGCACTTATTTGGAATTTTCTCTTTTTGTATTTGGAAGATCTTGCAACAGGTTGCCAAAATTCTATGAAAACATTGCAAGGCTTTGCTATGGGTATACAATGTTTTGGCGGAGAATTGCCTTTCTTTTTTCTTTCTGGTTGGATATTAAAAAAAATTGGCCATGTTAATGCTATGAGTTTAGTGCTTTTTGGCTTTGGAGTACGTTTTATACTTTACTCAATGTTGGAAGATGCGTGGTATGTCTTACCAATCGAACTATTAAACGGTGTTACCTTTGGTGTATTTTATTCAACAATGGCATCATATGCGAGTATAGTAGCACCACCAGGAACTGAAGCAACAATGCAAGTAAGTGAAACTTCAGTTGAGCTATTCCGAATTTTGTTTTAAATTTCATTTTTTATTGAAGAGTTTGGTTGGTGCTATATTTGAAGGCATTGGAGTGTCAATGGGAAGCCTAATCGGTGGCATATTGTACAGTACTGTAGGCGGAGGACATATGTATGCCATTTTTGGAACCGGTGCGTTTGTTGCTTTTGTAGTACATGTTTGTGTACAAATGTATTTGCAAAGGAACGGCAACAGTTTTTCTGGTACAGAAAATGGTAAGATATTTAATGTAAATGATGCCAGTACGGATAAAAGCAAAAAAGATACTGAAGATAATAAAATAAATACTATCAGCACAAATTTGCCCACTAACAATATTAATAATGATAAGAATGATGGCTTTACTGACGTTGACTTAAATTGATATTTGCTTTTTAATTTCCAAACATGTTATAAAAATCTCATATGACTTAAAATGGTATCATTTCATTATTTTATCGGTTGAGGTTATTTACGAAATCTTTTAAGTTTCTATAAAAATAAAATTATTATTTATAATATATAGAATTATATATATAAGATAAATAATAAAAACGGTATATAGACAATAGTTTCATAATTTAATAAATCTATTATTAAGCAGTAATAAAGTAATAAAGCAGAAAACAAAATATATTAAGTGTTTGCATAGACTTTAATATTAAATTAAAATGCTTGTAAAGTAATTTGTATAAAAAAAAGTTTCTGATTTTGCTTATTTATCATTAAGATATTATGTTATATATCAGACGCCGTTGAAATTTCAGGAATAAAAGCGAAGTAGAAAATTCAATAAATAACAGTTAAATAGTTTTAAGCAAAAATAAAAAAAAACTATACACCAAACAGATTTATTTTTATATCGAATAATATCTATAATTTTATATTTTTATATGAAAGAAATAAAGAAAAAACGAACAATATATTTTTCATATAAAACTTATTTAAATCACTAATAATAATAATTGATGTGTAATTATAAAATATCTCATGAATCTAATTTAATCTGTGTTTTTGTAAACAGAAATAATATAGCTAGTCAATGTTAATTAACTTAATATAAATATTAACCTTATGCATGAACACTACAAATTGCTTATATATGCTTGTAATTATTTTTATTGCTTCTTTTTTGTTTTAATAATCGTTGTTGTAATTCATTACTAATATGTAATATTTTTAGGAGCTGTAAAATATTTAGCTCCGACTGATGCAATGCATATGTTAAATGAACAGGAATATAGTATTGTATCCTAGAGGCTTGTCTTGTCACAAATTGGAACGTACACTCATGCACGACCTTACTGATTTGCTGAGATTATCAAATTTTTCTTTGTGATTTGGAAATATGCTGTGAATTGAATGTTTCAATTATTATATATTGAATTTAAACAAATAGTATTTAAGCTTATAATTATATATATATAATTAATATAGATGTGCTTGATGGCACAATTTTGGTTGTTTGTAAAGAGTTATTATTATATTTTTTTTAGCATGTATTTAGTACTTTAGAATTTAAAGTACTATTTTAATGTATTGTATGTATTTTAAATGTTAAGCAAGTCTTTGACCAAAGTAGTTTTTATTATTCACATTAAAAAATAATATTTAATACTACACATTCCATTTATTTAATTAAAATAAGATGGCATATGTGTATTACTCTGCCTTTCCGATTAACAATTCTTCCTGCTGCTGTTTATGTAGTTTACGTTGTAGTTCTTTTTGCTTGCATGAATTTATATTTGCGGTTCTTTTCTGTATTAATAAAATTATATGTTTCAAGTAAAATAATAAATTATTTTAAATAAATTTACGTTTTTTTATTTATTAATAATATAGCAAAAATTTTACCTTTATTATTTTCATACGCTGATATAAGTTGTGCATTTGTTTTTGAATTTTAATCAATTTTTCTCTGTATACCTTCACATTATACATCTGGAAAATATAATTGTGCGAGTAAATGAAAACATACTCCAGTTAACAAGGGTAATATATAAATAAAAATAATCTTTATTGCAAGTAACCGAAACAATATTAGCAAACGCTATCAACACAAAAATCAGAGATCGGCGACATGTGTTTTTTGATACACAAAAGTATATCCGGTTCTGCTGTGCCACATTGTGACCAACTGGAATAATCCATGATTTAAAAAAATTGAAATAACTTACCATTTGTTGCAGTTTAACAACATCATTATTATCAAGTTTAAATTTTTCTGCAGACAAATCAATGTAAATCTTATTTTGTTTTCCACTAAAATTGAAGAAAAAAATTGAAAATAATTCAATGAAAAATATTAAGTTATTTCTAACGCACATTAGCTCTTTTAATTGATTACGAACACGCACCAACGATGGTTCGAATATATTTAAAAATCCTTTGGATAACTGTGTTGGAGCTAGAGAGGTATGTGGTAATTCTGTTTCTGAATTTATTTCATCTTCTTTTTCAGTTTGTGTTGCGGGACCATGTTCCTGGTTTGGAATTGAAGATATATTGCTTCCATCTACTGCCACAGTATCTGCAATACTGATAAGAAAATATAATAAATGTTATTTATCAACCCAAAATAATCGATTACAAAAGTAGTTTTACAATACTTAGTTAATATTATTCTTTCATTGACGAACTACAATGTTAGTTGTTAAACCACGATATCTCAAGATGATATTTATTCCAAAAATACCGTACATTATTGTTTGCATTCACGAACGACAGAAATTGAAAATCCATACATTAAACATAACATGAGAATATGCAAATTTGATGTTAAAATTTTTTTGAGTAAAAGCAATATTATAAAATCCAATAGAAAGTTATAGACTTTAAATCATGGTAAGATTTCTTTTTATCTATAAAACATTCCGCATTCCTTCTTTAAGGTTCTATGCAATCTGCTACCAAAAACACTTTAATCACTATTAACTGTGTGAAGCCATAAGTCGTGACATGTATTGTAGGTCTTTACTGCATTACTAGCTTACACAAATGATAACATAAAATTATTTAGCATTATCTCCATGCAACTGCTTTAATTATTTCCCATTTGTAGTCGTTTTGATAAAATACATGAACAGCTCTATAAATATTTTTTTTTAGTTGTAAAATATTTACCTTTCCATTTTATTTTCTCACATTCGTCAGGTTATAATCACCACTCGAATATTACAACAATACAAAACTTGTTGATTAGAACATATGTTATTGACAAATAAAATGTAAACAAACAGATGTTTAAATACACTGTAAAATATAATTACAAACTAGATTAATATTGTACAATATTAGAAATATATACAAAAACAAATATATATAATATACATAAATACAAATATATCTTACGTGGTAACAGCTTTTAAATAAATAGATAAAAAATATAATAAAAGTTAATACTAAAGAGTTTAGCGTATAACACTATAATGAACTGTAGTTAACTGCATTCACACATTAAACTCTTTTTCAAATACAGATTTGAAAAACTTTTCATTATGGTTTTGTTTTTAAGTAGTTATCGTTTTCTATTTATTGCTTCTGTGAAGCAGCTGTTGATCAAATGATACAGAAATACATAGTATTTGCCAAGGTACAGTAAGAATTAATGGAACACAGTTAATTGCGAGTACATGTTTATAAAACATTAATAGTAGAGAATATCTTTTAAATCTTTTTTGACTAATAGTATCTGATTCTTTGTTGTTTGTGCTAAGATATTAAATGCTTAGAACAAAAGTAGTTCAATGACTTAAGTAATAAACGAATGCTATACAAGTTTGACTTAAGTTTACTTTCGATTTATAGTTGCTTAAACTAATATTACAGAACTAGCTAATAAAAATGGTAACTTGTGATAAAAATGTAATGAAATGGTAAAAATTTCAACAATGAAAAAACATTTGAATTTAAAACAAAAAGATGTTTATATTTTTAGTGAGCAGAACCAATTTACGATTAATCAAAATCACAAGCAGGTTTTTTTTTAATGACTTAAGTCACGTTTAAGTCATCAACTTTGGTGATGTAATCATATGTTTAGACTTCAACTTATCTTATGCGAAACAACAATTTTTAGTGGCAGTGGCATGATGTCTGTGGTTATATTCAAAATTACGCGGGAAAAATAATTGTATTCATACACTATCATTCGGCATGGAGTTGCGTATTCACATTTGGGTTATAGCCAAATATTAGCAAAGGTAGGATGGGCACCACTATTTACCAAGGAGCAACTTATGCCAAACACATAACTTCAATTAGTGCCGGTAAATACTTAGTTATATAATTCTAATTCTCCAGCCATAAAGTACTCATGCCCGTATTATGTGGAGATTAGCAATTTCTCGCTATATTTTCTTGTTCTGCAAAGTATTTCAGCATTTATGCCAAATATTTTCAAATGACCTTTAAAAGTATTTATACAAAAACATATTGTAATATGTTGTGTATGTTGTTGTTATTGTAAGTATAATATTTCTGTTATTACAAAGTACAAGTCAGACTTAAACTTTGCATAAGTATGTCAAAAGGTATTGAATAAAATTATCATTTATGTCAGCTATAAAGTTATTACTTTTTATATGACCATTTATTTATTTTAAAATACTGTTGTGAAAAAATAATTAATTTATTATTTAAACGTAAAAGATTTACAATATAAATATACACATATGCATATATTATTTTTCTAAAATAACCTTGAAAATATCCATTCCTTTTATTTAAAATTACTTTACTACAATGACACACACCACTACTGTTTAGATGCAACTCTGTCCTTCATTTAGCTGCGATTGACGTCAGTTAAAGAACAACATTTGAATTTCATTGAAGAACCCATTCGTTCAATTACAAGGAAATCTAAACCATATCATTCAAATGTTTTCAAGGGAGAGAATTAATGACAAAATTAGTGTATCTTTTATTCTTTAATAACTTGAACAACTTAAATTTTTTGATGCAATAAAAGATCTTTTATTATTTCTATTTTAATCAAAACCATCTATGCCAAGGTTTATTTAACATAAATAACTTGAAATTGTACGGGACAGTGACAGCTCGATTTAAAGATCAATTTGCATGTCAGATATACATGAACAAAATATTCTGCTAAGTTATTGATTTATACTGCAATTTCTTGCATATAACTGGCAAACGCTATAACAAACAGCTTCAATGACATTTTTAATAAAATAAATAGCTTTTTAAATGTAAATGAAATTATCTCATCACATAATGCACATTTAAAATTGTATATATAATAGGTTAAATTAATCTTGCTGGCAGAAAGCCACCCATTTACATATTGGTACCAAGGGAAACCTGTTCAATATAGTGTAACATATAAGTTCTGATTTAAATATTTTAATCTTTATCAAATCCTCCTTTTATATTATAAACAAATCAAAAAAGTTTTTTAATCATATAAAGCTTTTCTTTAATCATATTTTAGAATGCATATGAGGTTATACATAATTAAATATATTTTAACAAAAGTGATTTAGCGTAATTATTAAAAACTAATTAAGTAAAGCATTAAAGTAAAGTCAAGCTATATAAATATTTATTATTTACAAATGAAGCGAAAATAATATCTCAATATTTATAATTGTATATATGATATACGTGAAAACAATACATATTTACTTATCTAAGTACGCAATGAATATCACACTTGTTTTTAGTATTATTTAAAATCTAATATGTCAGCAATAGCTGAAGCCTTAACTGCATCATTACCATCCTTTTCTAATTCCGCCCTTGTACAACGACCACAACATGCTGCAGAAGGTTTATTTTCGCATTCTCCTATAGCTGGTGGTTTAAAATTAGGTGTCCAAGGACCTAAGCTTCCGGTGGCATAAAAATCCATTGGGTAGGCATTGTTTTTTGGTGATGAATTATGCGGTGTCCACTCAATATCGTCTAACACCACAGACAATTCATATGGATTCAATAAAGGTTTTGAAAATGCAGAGCCCCAATCGATTGATAAACGTGGACACGCAATTTGAACAAACGCATCAATATCCTTAAAAAGTTCTAATTTTTGTGGAAATATTTCTGATAATAATATCGTTGTAGTATCTAAACCTTTTTTTTGTAAGCGTTTTTGCAAAAAACTATGCACGCGACGACTACCCTGACGACCCAACGTGCCCAAAATAATGCCAATCTTTTTTGCTTTTTTCGCAGTTTGAATTTGTGAGAAACGTATTTGCTGCATGGATACATGATCGTATTCTTCTATAGTAAATTTCTTTTCATATGGATCATATTTATAAGCCTAAAAAAATTAAAATTGAAATATTATAGTTCCGTTTTTTGGATAATATAATATAGAAACAAACCTTAATGTGTGGATTTGCAATCATAATTGATTCCAAGTGAAATCTTCCATCACCTAAATATATTATCTTCTTTGTGCTATCGGGTAATTGAGGCGATGTGCAACCTAGAATTTCACCAGGACTTAAAGGTTTAGATTGTGGAACAATAATATCATAACCAGATGCCTTTAACTCAGCCGATGCTGCTTGCAGTGTAGTAACAAATTGTATTGTACTAACCAATGCTATTTGACCATCTTCGGGTTTAAAATTAAGCTTTACAGAATCCAAGAAGTGCAATGGATCTATCTTAATATCAACAAAGACGTATAGTACTTTGATCTCATTTGTCTGGTCAATTGGAATTAAGCAACTATGTCCGTAATGTACCATTAAATCTGCACCTAGTGCTTTAGCTGTGTAATCATCAACGCAACAAGCACCATATGTAACATCTCCCATAATTATAGTGTCAGCCTCAGTAAATCGTTCGATAATGTCACTAATAACCAAAGCGTACATTAGCAGACCTTCTGGCAACTGTAGAGCAACACGTTTTGCCTTTATTTCCATGATTCGCCAAATTGTCTTATGTATTTCGAAATTATAGTTTGATGGCAAGCGATCAATGGCTTTTTGCAGTATCGGATCATCAAGTAGCGTTTGCGGTATACGATTAATGCGTGCTTTTGGCTTAAAGACTTTTTTAGGTTTTGCTCTTATCACAACTATTTCACTTGATGAAACATCATTTTTTTCTAAGGAATTCATTGTTCCTGAACTTATATCAGGCACTGTGTTTACTAAATCCAGCATGCTGCTAAAGAAAAAATTAAAAACATAATTATTAATTGAATAATGATTAAAAGTGAAAAACAGATTAATTTTTGATATAAATTTGAAAATCATTTATAACAGATTATTGTATTAATGTAAATAATCATTTTAAAATTATGTAGGAATAATTTGTCTACTACAATGTAAATTAGCCTTTTTGAATTGCCGTATTATTAATTAGAAATCGTTTATTTAGTACTTCTTATTATTAAAATCATATTCATGCTAACACTTACTACAATTCATATACTATAAATATAGTAACCGTGTATTATAGTTGATTGTTCAGAAAACGTGAAAGAGAAAATATTGACAGTAACAAGGATTAACTAAGACACCGAGATTTTATTTAGATAGAAAAGTACATATTTCTAGTACTAAACAACTAGTTCATCAAATAACATAGTATGGTTTAAAAAACAAGGTTTTAGACCGGCACTAAATCGTATACTGAAACAAACCGATACTTTTGCTAAAACAAAAATCCGAACCGAACAAAATATATCGGTTCAGCATCATACATTTCGATACCTATTTATTCACGCGCATACTTCTCCAGTTGTTAAAAGTTTAGTGAAGACGTGATATTATTATAAATATATGTTTGTTTTTTTTTACTGAATAATCTTCATAAACTAACCTTTTTGAAAATAATGAATCATCAATCATTAATGATTAATGATCACATTAATCATTATTACCAAAAGAAAAAACTTATTTCATAAAGAGATGTTTCGAAAAGTAGTGAACTAAAACAACAAAAATTTTTTATATTCTTTTAATTAATTGAAAAACTTATTAAAAATATCCACTCGAGACTGAACCGAAAAAAACCGATATTTTTGTCGGAACGAAAACCGGAACCGAATCGATAAATAATTTTTTAATTGAACGGAAACGAAAAAAAAAAATTTAGAATTCCCGATGAAAAGTAAATAAAAAATAATATTTACATTCACACAAATATATAAACAGTATAAAATATTTGAAAATTTTTATCACATATAAAATTACGAAAAATTGTATATAACAATGTTTTTGGCAATATATATTTTTTTATGATACAAACAGAATTAGTACATTGAATAAAACACAAAAATTATTATTTAACTAATAAACTTTTAAACTAATTTTTTTTTATAATAGCGTCATCACATATTTTGATTTATTCAAAACAAATAATATTTATTTATATTATCAGTAATGAGTAACCTTAATGAACTTATAAAAATTAGCAAACATTAGTTTAATTTTACCATTTATATATAAATTGCATATTATACAATTTGTTATTAAACAATTTATTTATAAAAAAATACTTTAATTTTTAAATATTAAAACTCACTGTTTTGTAACTGCGTCTTCTTTTTGTGATGTATAAAAAATTGTACTTAAATTTTTACACTTTTTTAATATTTATTTTTAATTATCAATATTTTAAAGACCAATTTATGTTGTATTAATTTTCTTTGTTAGCACAATACGTACTGATGCCAAGATGTGTTAAGGGGCAATGAGAACGCACGTATGATTCGAATTTTGGCTGCTGTTTCTGTCTACTCTTGTTATGCAGACATTGTAGATTTGCGTAAAGTCACGTAGACCATGTCACTTTCAAATTCAAATAAAACTGAGTCTGGTTTTTCTTCATAAAAGCATTGTCAACTGAATTGCATTTATTAAATTTAAATGAGAGAATAAGTTATTTAACTCTTGTTTATATAATAAGTATTGCCTAATTTATAATCACAACTAAATTGCACTTTATTAAATAGGTTAAAGTTATTAACACGCTTGTATCATTAACCTGACGTTTTGTATGTAAATAAATTTTTGAGAGCGCTAAAGAGAAACGTTTGTTTTGATATGAAGTTAGCTGCGATTGAAACTATTTCATACGCATGGTCGTATTTCTATCGTAAAAAAAATTTAAAAATATTTTCAATAATATAACATATATGTTTTAATTATATATTTTTATTTGCGTTACATATTATAACAAATTATAACAAAGCTAATATTGTAAATTTAACTACATATTTGCTTAAGTAAAATTAATTGATTTATTATTATTTAGAAATAGTTTGATTTAAATATTCATAAAGCGTTTTTTTGCTGGCAGTACCTCGATATTAATTTCTACTTATTGCTTAAAAACAGTTTAAAATAGTTGTATTTTAAATTTGCTATATAATAATATTTTTAATACAATATAAGAAATGGCAACTGCTCAACTAACAAAACTTAGTGACATAAAATCGGATTACAAAAATATTTTCGTAACAGGCTTGGTCATAATGAAGAGTGAACCCAAGTTTTTCTTTACGAAACAATTTCCTGAATGTCGTGGAGTTATATTATTCACAGTACGAGATTCAGAAATACATTTTGTAAATTGTAAATGTTGGGGTTCTAAAGAAAAAGTAGAATACTATAATGATAATATTAAAATTGGTGATATTGTAGACGTTATTAGCCCTAAAATCGTTTGTCAACTAAACACCACTCAACAGACGGTGACTTCCATGCGTTTTCATCCATTTACTACATTGCCTTTTCTATTTGTACTTAACGAAAATGAATCTTATATCAACAAACATGAACACACATCGTTTTTTTATGAGGAATTACATAAACTTAAAAATGTTTCACATAAACCATTAAATAGTTGTCTTAAGTTATCTGATTTACAATTTTTAGTGAACAAAAATCGTCCCCATGATCAGTTTATTGATTTGTTGGTTGTTGTTGCTGCTCTTCGATCTGTAAAAAAATTTAAAAGTTCACGCACTGGTCAGCTACTACAGTGTCTGGAAGTAGCTGTAGTAGATGCCAGCAATATTAGTGGTTTTTTACTTACTGTTTGGCATAACGAATGGATTCAACGGGCCCAACAATTATGGAAGGCTAGGAAAACCATTTTGCATTTAGTCGATATTAAAGTTTCCTACTCAAATTTCTATAAAAATACAACTTTAAATATTACATCTTGTTCTCTAATTTATGAGAATCCTCAAGGTACTGAAGCTGATCAATTACAAAAATTTGCTTTGACTGCACCAGCAAACCACTTCGATCTCTTTGCTCAAATTGATAACAGAAATTTACCAGATCGTAAGTTACTGTAGCGCTTGCATTTAGTTTTGAAATTATTAATATAATTTTATTTTTTTTTAGCGAACAATATTATAAACCAAATGACTGTCAAACAAATTTATGCTCGCACTGAAGGAGATCTTGCAGACAAGACCGATGAATTTACAGCAGTATTGTATGCAATGGTGACAAGATTTGATATTGATGGGCAATCTATAATAATAAGTAAAAAGTGGTTAGTGGTTATAATTTTAGTTATAGAAATCGCTGATAATCTATCTTTTAATTTTCGCGATCAGGGATAGCTCAGGAATGTTACAGATAACAGCATACGATCTGTTTTCCTCTTTGTCTTTGTTTGATCTCTTTATTGTGTGGATCATTTGAGTCAGTGAACTTAAACTACTATATTTTATTCCCTCAGTCCTACTTCTTGCGTTCTTAGAAATTATTTTATTCCTGCAATGAGATTTCACTTCCGAGTTTTGGTTCCTGTAAGCACACACGCAAGCACTCAGTGTGTTATCGGTTTAGGCAGTAATACAGTAATCGGTAAAGTTATAAAATGACAAATGTCTAAAAGGCTGCTTTTTTCTTTGTTAAGTTGTCACAGCAACTATTTACTTTTTGACTTCTTTAAATAAAACTAGTTATTATGAATAATTCTTTATATCTTTTTATTTTCTATTTGATTATTTATTACTTTTACAAATAATATACATATGTAAATTTTATTTTCAATTTAACTTTGGTGCACCATTTTACAATAATAGGATTAGCTACATTTTTACCGAATACCGATAAAAGCAAATTTTATGTCTTGGTTGATTGCTGTCGAATAGTTCTTAATTAAGAAAGACTAACCATTTTTTCTGACGCCTTTAAAATAGATAATGGTATAGGCAATAAAGTTTTCTCTGAAGGACTACATAAATTTTCCTACTGTAGGTTTCGTGATCATTGCAGTGTTTTTTAGGCGGAAGTAAAGCTATTACTTGTCTCTGGAAGTGGATAATGTATTTAATAGGAATATATACATAATATCAGATAGTTAAGCTGCCTTAAAACACCGTTTTACTATTTAAGGGGCCTCCTTAGGCTCTGAAGGCTCTACTAAAAAGCATTTTAAACGTTTCCAAAGGCTTAAGGTGGTTTTTAAACCACTGAGTTTTCTTTATACGGTAACACAATAGTTAATATGCCTAACTGGATCCTTAGCATCGCTGGCATAACATAACTTATTAATAATATTAATATTAATATTAAACACATGTTTAATAACCGTAAAATTTCAGGAATTTGCTTCGAATTGCAATTTATTAGTATCACCTTCTTGATTCTTAAATTTGGCTTCAAATAGGTACATTAAAGACTACATTCATTGTTTTTGAAGACATTGAATGTTTATATTTTCATTGAAGACAATTTGAATAGCTGGGTTGTATGCAAAAAAAATTTGTTTGTTGGAAAAATCGAGATTGCATACAATTTGCCAAAGACTATCCAATGCAGACATAATGTTAAAACAGTCAATCAATGTATGTTTTTTCTGTAGGTGCTTGTGCGAAGACAGTGGATATGGCTTTTAGATAGTGATATTATTCACATAGAAATGTAGTGCATATCATATGCGCTAAAAATTAAAAACGGTATTTCTCTGGTGAAATACTAATTAATGAATGTTATATTCAGGTATGGCCCTATGCTCCACTGGGAGTTAACGAAACAAAGACAGAAGATATTTATTTAAAACTTTGCGAATTTCTAAAAATGTATTTTTAGTAGTGAACAACAAAATACAGGTGTTGTGAACATCATTAGTGTTTTTTTTTTTTTAAAATATTTCTTATATTTAATTAACAAGGGTTGAACTTGTGCCCTATGAAATTTAAAGCACAGAGTCAGTGTTAATTAGCCAATTGACCCGAAGCCGTACTTAAAAAATTCGCCTGTTGTGTTATTTAAGAACAAAATCAATAAGCTATAGAATAACTAAATTAATTAATTATAGTTACAAGCTATAATTATAATAAATTATAATTATTGTTAATTTCAAGAACCATTTCAACTTTTATTTTTACAGCAAAGCTTGTCATCGATTGTTGTCATCCGCAGCAGTTGAATGTGAATCTGACCAATGTCAGTTACCTTTTTCGTTAAATTACAATAGTGAGAAATACGAGTATTTCTTTAATATCCCAATGCATCTTTCGGATCACACTGGCACATTGCTAGAGGCGCGGTTAAGTGGACAGATCGCAGAAAATATACTTGGTGTGGACACTCTACAATTTAAAAATATGGACGATAAGCAAAAGGAAATTTTAAAATGGCGATTTTTAATGTCTCATGTTGAAGCGAAACTTTTAGTCAAGAAACCAACTGCCTTAAGGAAGAATTTAGCAATTGTTATAGTGGATTTGAAAAAAATCAGTTTAGAAACTGTTTCTGAAAAAATAGTTGTATTTTAAGCAAATATATGTATATATGTATCAACTTATAATAACATTGTATAAATAAAATAAAACATAATTTTTTTATTTCTTCTTCTTTCCCTTGGCTTTTTTTTCTGCTTTTTTTCCTCCTGTTTTCTTTTCTTCATCTTTTTTTTGATCTTCTTCTTTCTTTTTATCTTCTGGCTTCTTTTTATCTTCCTGTTTCTTTTTACCTCCTTTCTTTTTGTCTTTCGGTTCTTCTTCAACTACTGAACTATCACCTTGAATGGGAATTGTTGTTTCTGAGGTTTTTTCAGTTTCATCAGCAGGTAAAGGAATTAAAGCTACCATTGGATCTGGTTCGAATTCAGTTCGTTCCATAACGAATTCCCGTTCATATTGCTTTTTTTTTGTTTTGAAAACGATGTCCTTGAACTGTTGAAACACTGTTCTAAATTCTTCATCACTAAATACTATTTCGTAGAGTTCTTGTGAATCAACCGCTGCTAACACCATTTTACTAAAGTCTGGTGCTTCTTCGTCTTCTTCCGCTGCGGCTTCTGCTTCTGCTTCAGATAACCTATGTTTTAGCTTAATTTCTTCAACCCGGCCTTCGAGTAACTTGCAACGAAGCTGTTCGCGCTCAAAAAGCTGAACAAAGGAAGCAATTGATTCTTACAAACAATATATTATATTTAAAATTTTGTAAAACTTACAGCAGCTATTAGAGCTTTCTCCTTTACTGAACTTTGTTTCATAGCTGAATCTAGTTCAAGTAATTGCATGTCTCCATCAGCTAAAGCCACTGCTAAATATTTGCCATCTGGTCTAAATCGGCAATTTATGATACGCTTCTGAAAGAAGTAAGTAAATATCGGTTTCTTTTGATCTAAAAGTAAGTCCCAAAAGTCTAATTCGCCTTTAGAATCTCCTGTGACGAAAAGCGAACAACGAGCGGTACTCCAAGTACCACACATAATTTGATTATTTTTTTTAATGAAAAGTGTTGAAGGCGCATTTTTAACTTCTTCTGCCCATATCATGCCACACCAATCGCCAGTAATTAAAAAACTTTTGACAAAAAATGGATTGCGCTCAATAGTGCGTATTGGGCCAGCAAAAATCTTATAGTTATTTATTAAGGCTTCACTCGGAGTTATGCCTTTTCTATTTCCAACAAATATAAAACCTTGATCTGTACCAATTATATAACGCACAGGTATAGTATATTCAAATTCTAGTACTGTACAGCCATGTGCACGATCTCTGGATTGGTCGTCTGTGGGTTCAGGATCTAACAATACTTCTTGTAAGGGATCTTCTAAATTATTAAAATCCCAATATTTAATACTGCCATCAATGGACCCTGTATAAAATTCGGAATTTGACTTTGAATGTACCCAACATAATCCTGCAACAGGTTCACGATGTGCTACCTCTAATGGACAGATTTTAGTCGGTAGGCCTCCATTTTGCGATTCCCAAATACAAATTTTACCAGAAAAAAGACCGCCAGCCATATTTACGTCATCTTTCGGACAAAACAATACCTTACAGACAGCTTCTTTGCAATCAAAATTTACTACTGGTTTGATTGGATCTTTAGTATCCCATGTAAAAAACAAATTGCCGCTAGCTGGCTCGTCATTCTCAAACGTGAAACTTGAAATTTTTTCGGTATTTGAGTAATGTGTAAGAAATCTATGGCTATTAGTGGGTAACCAGTCAATGGTTAGTAAAGGCCGCGTTGGCTTTACTAAATCATGAAAAAGGTTAACTTGTCGTGCCTCAAATTTTTCAAATATGTCTGCTCCTAACTCTTTAGGTAAATCTTCAAAAAAGCACTCATAAATATTCATTGTATTATTTTGTTCCGTAATGTCAATAGCTTTTTTAATCAATGCAGTGACCTGTGATCCCCAATTGTCTTCTCGCTCAACTTTTTTACGATGACGCAATGTTTGATCTTCATCGTTTATATTTACCTCACGTGGCCAACCACCCTCGTAATGGTGAACTCCATGACTGAAGAAAGCTACATCGTCTGTTGCTACATAACTCTCAGCTTTTTGCTCACCCAACTGAGTGCCCGTACTTACTGGATTTCTAAGAATATATTGTTGACGATGTTTCGGTTTTGGTACTATATTAAATAATAATTGATGACGGTCTGTGAATAAACATTGACGCCCAAAGCGACGGCGCTCGCGAGTAACGGTATAATGACTTTGGTGCATTTTTCGGAATGTAGTATTTAACTTGTATTTTTATAAAAATTTTTCAAAAATAATTTAAGTAAATTTGATTAGATTTTAAACGATAAAATAATTATAATTTTACACTTTTTTAAAGATTATATCTTATAGTATTTAATATTGAAATATACTATATTCTTAAAAAATAAAGTTTTCAAAATAGTTCAGCTACAATTTATTTAATAGGAAGTGTAAACTAAGAAAATATGAAGTTAATTGATTAACTATTAAACAATAATGTGATTTCTTATGGTTAAATGATCCTGTCATTATAGTTTCCGTTTAAATATATAACAGTAAGAATTGATGGAATGAAACATGTTTCAAAAATGTAAATCAAAGAAAACAATTTCATACAAAAAGGAATAATTCTTTGGCATAAGCAGAACTGTTTAGAAATATTGAATTGCTTGCATAAGTTAACACACGCGTCTCCCAAACCCGGCCCTGTGCTTAGTTTCATTACCGGAACAATCATGCGATATTATTCGAACACATTGTTGCTACCAAACGGGACATCCACTTGTTTGTCTGGAACAATCCCGTTTGGCTTCGGTAGTTCCGAACTTCTCAAAAGTGCGCTCGGTCTCTCCTGCTTTAGCTTCCGAAGAAGCAACATCAATACTTCTTAAAAAACAAAAAGAATATTTAACTCATATAATAATGAATGTATAATTAAACATATGTATATTCAGATAATAACAGAAGAAACTAAAAAGTAATTATTTAACTTAGTAGTCTAAACGTCTCTTTAAAAAAAGTGAATCCGTATAGACTCTATACAGATATTTGATTATTGATATAGCATATAGATATTTTTAGAAAATATCTTAATATCCAATAAAATATCCAACTAACTGTCTAAACCATCGTAAATGAGTCTTAAACAGTTGATATTTTTCCTAATTAAATTATATTTTACTCAAAGTTTTTTAACTCTGTAAATTAATAACTAAACTGCAAGATAATATATGTTGAGTTTTGGAACAATACTTTTATATTTTCAGCATATCAAAAACGGAAACTTCTTACGTTTAATCGTTTATTTCCCATAACTGCGTGAAGGTATATTTCTTTAATATTCCATTCATATGTTATTAAAGTATTAATAGCGGTGTTATCTTGGCATCTGAAGTGGACATAACGTAATAACTCTCTTAATTAAGTTGCTATTTTACTAAGAACTAGGAAAGGGATTTAATTATGTATTATATATTTATGTGTAAATATATTTCATTAAATAAACATGCATATAAACAATAGAGATCGATACCAATATTTATGTAAATTTATTAATTTAAAAAAAGATTTGCCAATAACAATACCAGACTAACGTAGAACGTAGTGACTTGTTATACCATATAACCTGGCAACAGTTTCATCTTTGTTTCACATAAGCTTTTTAACCTGTTGGTTATCTACCTTTCGTACTATAAAACATAGAATACCATATGCCGCTCACCATCTTTGTCACTTCTCTTTCTATCCTATACTATATAAATCATATACCATGTCTTTCCCAACCCATCCATTAATCCTTGCAAAAGTTTTGCCCCTTTTTGAAATTCAATAATATATTAAACCTTATTTAAATTCTTTTAAAAATATTTGTTTCCATTTACAAAACACTTTATAAAACCCTGAATAGTTGATATAAACGCTATGTAATGTATTACAAAGATAGAGATCGAATGATGAATATTAGATAGAGAACTATACTAATTATTTCAGCATTTTGATGATCAACATTCTGACTATCAACCATGCAAATGAATAATGCTTAGAGTAGTTGATCATGTTCTTATACAAGAAGTAAATAGATTCTGCTTGAAGATGGTCATCATGCGCCAAGCAATGGCATTCTGTCCAAATCCATTGAAGCCGCATTTTGACAAGTTTAATAACTGTTTTATTGTGTCTCACAGAGTTGTAGAATTTCTGAATTAACTGATGTAACCGGATAGAGTTTTGGATATATATTTAGCACAGGAAACAAAGAGGATTCTGTGTTTCAACCATCAAAGACTGAGACCACAAGGGCAAGTTATATGTTTATGTTGTTACACAGTGTTATGGGATCCTGGCGAGTGGTGGTGATTGTCAGCATGCGTTTAATACACGATATAAAAGAACAACTTTCTTTAACTTTCTAGTTTTTGATATTTTACCTTTAAAAATGTTAACGATTATCTTAAAATCGGGCTCCAACCTGATGTGATACAATGTCTCTACATTAATTTCCATATTTAATGGTATCTTAAGGTCCATATTATGTAGAGTGTCTCAGTTGCATCAAAATCAAAATTGTAGATGCTTTCAATGTAAATCGAAAAATTGGGTGAGAAAGTCATGGCCATGAGAGCCGAAGATAATCTGTGCCTCGTCACTCAGTCACTATATATATATTCCCTTTAAAATTTAGGCCGCAACTAATAAGTACATAAGTGATAGTAAAATACAAAATTGACAAACTGGTGTAACACTCTGCATAAAATGCATTTTCGTCATAGCCCGAAAGAGCCAATTTTGAAGTGCCCTTGACACTCTACATAACATGGGCCTAAAGCTATACGAGTTCTTAATTTATATTAAGTAGCTCTAAGATATATCATAAACTTATCTCTTGTGTTAATACACTCTATCAATTTTCGGTGATATCAAGTTTTAGTTTTATGTTGATATAAAACTTTAAGAAATGTTATAAAGAAGTATTAACAAATTTTGATTTTAACGAACCCGTGACACTCTATATAATGTGGGCTGAAAGTTATTCGAGTTCATAATTTATATTAAGTAACTCTAAGATATATCATAAACTCATCTCTTGTGTTAATACACTATTTTTCCGTGCTATTAAGTTTTAGTTTTATGTTGATATAAAACTTAAAAAAAATATTAAGAATATTGTTTATTTTATTTATATATTTTTAATTTATTCAAACGATTTTGATGTGACTTTTCGGACTCGCATTCCTATTACACTCGTTTTTCTCTTAAAATATTTATAACTACACGTATTTAATTTTGTTAATAATAGCGTCAACTGCAATATATTTTTTACAGTGTTTTTTGCCGATATAGCCAGTACTTATGCATTGTTAGATATTGTTAGCAGTTGTTTTGTTTTTTCTTTTTTTTTTTTTGTTTCAAAATATATTTTATATAGATTGTATACATATTTATATGATACATACATACATAATTACAATTTTTATATAATTAGGCAATCGTAATACATCTTCGATTTATAAATATATATATGAATATATATATATATATATAGTTAAAACAAAAATATATTAAAACTGGGTTTTATACTTGTTTTTGTTTAAATGAACTCAATTTTGATCATAATGATATCACTTTTGGCTTTTACCAGTAGTATTTTGTTTTAACATTGTATTTCAAAAATAATTTTTAAAAAATTCGTTTTCTTTGCTTAAAATTCTAAAAGTTAAAATATATATACGTATTGCGTAGTGTTTCAAGAACCATTTAGTTTATTTAATTAATCACAATTTATTTAAAGTTTAATAATTTTTAGCAAAAAAATTTAAATTACAAACAAATTAACTCTTAAGTTTGAATGTTTAAGCCTTTTTCTATTTAAATTAGTTATTTTTTGTTTTTTATTTTCATCTGCAAGTGTACATATTTTATTTTTTTTCTTTAATTTTTAATTTCAACATTTGAATATTTTTAGTCATTATTTTAATCTTACTTTATTCGTAACTAAATGCTTATTAATCATTTATGTTATAAAAAAAAAAAATATATATTTAAATTTAATTTAAATCGGAAACCAGAAACCGGAATTCCGCAACTTATATAGAAAAGTCATACTAACAATAGTAGTAAGCAAATAAATTTAAATTTGGTTTTACATTAATAATAATAACTATAAGATCTTACCAGATCTTATGTGTATTTTTATAATTTAAATAGTACACATCTCTGTCCGGAAAAATACTTCGATTTTTTAATCAAACACATATTAACCCCAAATTAAGAATACTTTAGTGTACTTAATTTCAGATATTAGCTTCATTTTTAAATTTTAAGAACTTACTACCAAGTTTTAAGCAAATTTATTAAAGGAATTCGAATTTGTAATTTTGCTATAATTTTAAAAACAGGCTTCAGCCACGTTTTTAAATCAATAGAAAATATTAGTTGTTAAAACTTATATTTAAATGAAATTAAGAATTCAATTTTACTTTCATACATTCCAGAGTTTTCATTTCTTATCACTTCTAGTTTTCATGTTCAGTTACAATTTTATTTTCAATTTTTAATAAATCTACAATAAATATTTCATTATTTTCTCTTAAAACTATAAATAACTTATATTTGTAGATACTTCAATAAATATAGTTAGAAATTCACAATGAAAAAAATTTTAAAAATTGTGCTGGTGGTACTGGTTGCGATAGTGCTAGCTGCCCACCAGCTTCTTCCAAACGTTGCTTATAATCGGGACTCTGATCTACAATGCAAGGATGACCATCTGAAGGCCAAAATAGACAGCAGCAATAACGACATAGTGATAGTATTTCTGCAAATTGGTAATCGTCATTTAGACCATAGGTGCGTTTCAATTGATGATAGACTTTTTTCCAGTCCTTAACATCACCCATTAGTTTAAAGTTATTTAAATCGAGTATAGTATTTATTTGTTTTTGATTAAAATGAAATCGTGTCAGTTCACGCCAAATTCGTTGCTCAGACACAAGTGTTGCCATAAGGGTCCAAGCATCAGCCGAGGCCTAAAGAAATCAAAAAAAAAATTAATTTTAAAATAATTCTATTAAAATTATTTAATATATTTACCTCCAAATCTCTATGATCTGCTATACGCAATATAATTTCTCGAATACATTCTTCTGGCAAATCATGCAATTTAGGACGTATTTCTGGACCAGGCTAAATTAAGCAAATAAAACATATATTAAACATTTAAATATACATCATGTGAATTCTAAATTCTAGTCAATATTATACTCAATATTATATGGTATGTATATTAATTATTATATATTACACTTTTACAGTCTTTCAGAAATTAAAAATTCTATTGAAGTTCAGAATCAACACTTTTTCCTACCGCAACAGGTCACAATATTATGCACTCATAACAAAACTCAGATTTTGAAAAATATGGAATAAACAATATTTATATATAAAAATTAGAAAAGTTCGAATAGAAATAGAAAGACAACAATAAAAATTTTAGTTAATTTATTGAAATTTAGCTGACCTTACAATGCTTTTTCGAGTAGTGCCAAGTTTTCATCAGCAGTGGTCTTGGGAAATATTCTTTTAATGAGTTTATAGTCCGTATATAATTTGTTTAGACTGCAAGTTCAACGAATTGAAAATTAATTTTTAAGGTTACCTATTTTTATTCAAAGCTATTCTCTTTTCTCAGCTTGTCGTAGAGCTGAGAAGTCTATTTTCAATGCTCACCGAAATACACGGTGTCAGAAGAAATTTTACTATTCAAAAAAAAAATTATAATGAAAGCCTCTATATCTCAAAAGCAGTTAGTCTCAATAATTAAAGTTGTATATTAAGTTTTATTTTATATTAAATATATATATTGCTTGATCTACAATTAATATTTTTAAAAATAAAACGAAAAACGTCGATAAACCCTGAGATAGTTCTGAAATGTTATCAAAAAGAAAAACACCAGGATATCCGAGTCATTGAATATACAAACTAAGATTTTTTTTCAAATTGACTCTTTTGGCATCCGCTTTCTTGAATCAAATTAAAAATTCAGCCCCCTTGCCATACAATTTGCTTCTACCTCTTGGACCAAGGAACCAAATAGACTCTTTTGGCATCCGCTATCTTGATTCAAATTAAAAATTCAGCCCCCTTCCCATACAATTTGCTTCTACCTCTTGGACCAAGGAACCACCTCCGGAAGTTATTACACTTCAAGCGAAATGAAATAAGTTCCTAAATAACATATATACTATTACCATTTCATTATTAAAATTAATCGCCTTAATGTATTGAATGCATAGAAAACATGTGTACATCAAATATATGTTGGATTATGATATATTGGGATTGAAAACGAGTTGTTTAAATTCTTAAAACTTACTCTATAGAATAAATTGTAGAAGTAGTGCTTTTATGTAATGAATTATGCATCAAAAATAGAAATAAACATCTTATGAATTAAAACTATAATTTTAAACCAATATTAATGACCATATAGATTCTTCGGGGCTGTCATTAAACTGTCAGCAGTCGCCAATACCATATCACGATTTTTTAAATACTTTAAATGTTAATATTGGAATTCGCAAGTTAGTTGTCTTATTGTTAGTTGCCTTCGTTGTCAAAATGTTTGAAAATCAAAGAAATAAGAGTATTGTGTGCAATATAGATAATTTTGCTCATGATATCAATATCAGCGCTGACAGAGCTTTGCTGACGACTTTTAATGTATTTGTGGCTCTGAAGATAAAAAAAATCTGAATTTACGTTCTTCGTCAATGCCCATTGCTGGTCAATACAAGACTAAAAATCTTTGAGACCCCTTCTCTCACCGATATGACAACGCTGTCATTTCGAAAAATTAGGGATCTAGTCAAGCTTATAGACATATCAGGTTGCTTTACTTTCACTTGAATGAAGAAGTCTTCATTTGTACGCTAACCGCGTACAAAGATATTGAATATTCCGCACATCCGAAAGTGATTATTGGTTCTATGGAGAAAGAATGCCCTTATTGTCATGCACTCAAATTCAAACAAGAATCAGACGGGTTAAGTGCAACTACCAGAAATTGAGGGACCACCAGAACCATTGAACGGCTTGCTCATTGACACGCATGAAGATTCAAATCTGTTCCTGAAGTTTATTCGCATATTTAATTCATGCTTCCAAATAACTTCGTTCGAAGCAACGGAAATAGTTCACAATACTGCGGCAAATGGCAGTACAATACAATACATTCATTATCATTTATTTAAAAAAAAAAGTCAGTAGAATTAACTTATACGGCTAAACAACGTTTGCCGGATTCAATTGTAGTATATAATATAAATTAAACGTTCAAGCTATTATTGGACTATAGCCAGAACTATTTGGAATGCGCCGGACATAGCCATCATTTCCTTAATATTCCAAAAAAGAATCAAGGCACACAAGTTCATCACAAAAACAAATCCAAGCTAGCAAGAGTAACTGCAATTTGTATAGTATGATATAAATAAATATAATAATATTATTGGGATAAAAGTGTATTACCTTCACATGAGTATTACATTTTGCCAAATGGCGTAAATTGGGGATAACTCTCATAGCCTTCCTCAAAGAGATCTAGCATTTTAGGCAGTACATTTTTATGGACTGTAGTGACAATTGATAGCTTCTTTATTTTTTTTATTAAATTATTTTTTTTTTAGTTTTTCATATATACCTCATTTTTGTTAGGTATATATTTATTTTAACTTTAATTATATATTATAAATTAAAAGGACAGCATACACGAAGTCATTGTCATATCTTGATTTTCACTATTTATTATTAGTTATTTTTTATAATCGTATATTTTTAAAATAATTAATTGTTTATACAGTTCTTGTACTTATTTTTATTTATCCTTTTAGTCCTTTTCTGTATAAAGTTGAGGCGGGATGACATTCATACAATCCCGCCTTCATACATTCATGGAATTAGGGTTATTTACAGTAAAACAATATATAAAACTGTGTGTTGTTTTATGGTACTATTAGGTAGATCGGTACCCTCTTTCCTGTTCATTGCTCTATTTATGTCTACTTAAATGTGAAGGGTCTGTAATGTCAAGAAACTGACATTCTTTTGTGAATTCTTTTGTGTTATTTACAGTCAAACAATAGTTATATAAAATTATGTGTTGTTTTGTAGTAGTACCAGCTGCTGTTATCGGTACCCTCATTCCTGTTCCTGTGCTCTATTTTTGTAAGGTCTACTTAAATGTGATGGGTCTGTAATGTCTATTATTCTATCTATCTATTCTATCTATTATTCTGACGTTATCTAAGTCCACTATATGATTTGTATATAAAAAACTTGGAAATATGCTCAGAAAATTTTACACGAATATTTACGAACGAATTAGTTCTAAACTTTTCAGATCTTTATTTTTTAAACATAAAGCATTGTCGACTAATTTACTTTATCTCTTTCATTAAAGAAAGACTAAAGATCATAGTATACTTAGTATAGAATATTATACTTAACATATTCTATTTCACTGGATTTTTTTCAGAATTTTAAATTAGTTCTAACTGAAAGTTTTTTGTTGTTCTGTTTAATATTTTTAAGTATCCCCGTTCATACCCGAAACTTATTATATTGTAATATGCTGATGCAAATAAAGTCTGTCCATCACTTAACAAAACCCTAAAAGGAACTTAACGCATATAACCACACTTTATATGTGTTATTATGAAGTTAGTTGTCTGTGACGTCTCGATCACTTTTTTTCTGAGTAACAAATAATTATTTATAAGTTAGCTTGTAGTGAGAACAATTAAGGTGGATTATAGTTATAATAAAACTTTCATAGCAAAGTAACAAAACTCCAGAAAAATGTGCGAACATAAAAGTCAAGTACGACTTTGGGCCAATTGGTTAAGATGCGCTGACTCTGAGCTTCAAATTTGGCAGGATACGAGTTCGATTTATGGTACTTTCTGATACAAGAATTATATCCAAGACCACTGATGATGGGTATTTGGCAATACTCGAAACAGCTGTATGGTCAGCCAAAAATTCAATTAATTAAAATAATATAAAATGAATTTTTGTTGTTGTAGTTCATTGTTGTTCGAAAAACCTCTTAAGTTATATAGTTAACTATTAACTAATTATTTATGAGTTAGATTGTAAATACATGTGTGTAATAAGCTATTATTTGCATAAAAACCTTAACTTAAAATACAAAATTTAAATAAAAGCAGTATTAAGTGTGTACGTACCTCTTTAATTTGTATTTGATTAGCAACATTTTGTATGCGTTTTATTGTCTCGACATGAGCTTGCCATAGGTTCGTGCTACCCAACGGCTTACCCCAACATTTTTGATTTTCCTGATAAACGATGTGTTGCAATTGCAACGCCAGGCCCCGCAAAATGTTCAAATGTTGTTGGCTATCATTGACTATGTACAAAAAATGAAAGTGATTTTAATTGCATAAATAAACGGAAATATGAAAAATAATTAAATTTGCACTTTCAAGTGCACATTAGACACATTTAAATTAATGTTTAAGTCTTCAATACAAAAAGCAAATCCAATTGATGGTTTTAATCAAAATAAATTCAATTTAAAATATAAACGGAAGAGGGAAGTTATATTTTGACTTAAGCATGAAGTTTATGGCTAAATTGTTAAGACAACAACGTTTCTGTTAAGTTTATTTTCGCAAATTACCATGAGATGCAACTTCTTCGACCATTTGAAGCAATTGTCGCTGTGCGCTGCCCGATAAATTGGCAATGCCTTTGTGTGCCACCAACAGACGTAATAGTGCACAAATGTAATGAAAGCGACGACGATCGCGAACCGAACTGCGGAAGTCCAAGCGCCGCACAGCTTCACCTAATCCATTAAAACCAGCTATTTCTCGTGTACAACGTATGGTTATGTGGCAGTGAGGTGGTATGGTCTCTTCAGTTTCTTCCTCAAAGCTGTCATCTGAGTTGGATGAAAGCCTGTAACACAAAAAAAAAACAAAAATCAAAATATATTAAACATTAACTTTTGAAATTTATTATGTTTTACATGAACTAAAATCTAAAAATACATGGACTAAAAATAAAATAATTGAAATTTAGGAAATTAATTTACATGTAAATTAACTTAATAATAAAAAATATTAATAAAAAATTTATTTCAATATATATGTTATATATACATATAAATTTAAATTGAAATTTCAATGTTTAATTTAAAAAAAAAACGACCTTATATATTGCAAGAATATCATTATTTTAAATTCTTTAAGATGTGGTTATATTAATTATTAACAGCAGATCCTAATAATAAAGCAAATTCTAAAATATAGGTCGTGTGCGAGTTCGAGTAAATTGAGGTAAAGTAAATTGAAATTTTCTAGGGATTTTTTGTACTGCACTTATATAAATATTTATTTATTTATTCATTGCACTTATTTATTATTTTTGGTTAAAAGTTTTTAAATTTATTTATTAAACATCTTATAAAATTTTCACAATGGTAACACCTAATTTATCTAATATATCCTACTCGAAATTCTGATAAATACCAATATTCGCTGGCATACCGACATAATTTACTATTTCCCTCAATTTATCATTAATTTACTCGAACTCGTACACGCCAATAATAGTTTTTAAGATAATTCAAATAATATTGTTTGCTACAACTATTTTATTATAGCTAAAAACTAAAATCATAGAATCTTATTTATTAAAGATAAGATTTATACATTAAGACCGAAAAGTTTTCGGAAATTCTCATTTAAAATTCGCGCGCTGTATATTTTTCGATATTTTAAGTTTATGTAGTTTGGCAGCAATTAAGGACAATAACTATGCCAAAAATGAGCGCGATCTGTCAGACAGTTCGTTTACGGCAGCTGTTGAAACCAGTTCACCTCAGTAGTGCGTTGCGAAAAAAACAATGGAAAAAAATATTGGACAAAGAGTTTGCATCAAATTTTGTGTTTCGAACGAAATTTCGTGTGCAGAATCGTTGCGAATGCTACAAAAGGCTTATGGGGAATCAGTTTTATCGAAAACTCAAGTTTATGAGTGGTACAAAGCCTTTCAGGACGGTCGTACGACCGTCGAAGACATTTCGCAACGCACTACTGAGGGGAACTGGTTTCAACAGCTGCCGTAAACGAACTGTCTGACAGATCGCGCTCATTTTTGGCATAGTAATTAAGGACAGTGCTGCCAAACTACATAAACTTAAAATATCGAAAAATATACAGCGCGCGAATTTTAAATGAGAATTTCCGAAAACTTTTCAGTCTTAATGTATCTTCATATTAGATCTGACTTAATGGCTTTTAAGTGTCTTATAAAAATGACATCCAAAACTGAAATGATGGTAGTTAAAGAATTATATCAAAATTCATTCAATTATTTTTCTGGTGATATTAAAAACCAACTACCGGTGGCAAACATGGATGTAGTCAGCAAGAAGCGGCAGGAAATGGGCCAAGGATCAATTTTTCTAATAAAAAATTGTTTTAGTAAATTGTTTAATAATTCATTAATAAAATTTTAATATTTCCAATAAAAACCTACGCTAAAAAACAAATATAAATATTATAATATCTTAATTAATTTTATTTAACACTACCATACATCGCATAGAATACTTTAAATTTTTACACAAAAACAGAATTAGATTAAATAATAATTAGGTAGAAAAGTATCATTATCATCATATCATCATATATCATTATCATCATAATTTGATTCTACAGCTAACAGTGAACTTTAGTGTGCAGTGCAGACTCAGTACATATATGTGACTGATCAAAATATAGTCTCACAATCAACCATTGCCATCGTAGCCCGTTTGCTATCGTTTGGTATATATAGATAATGTTTATTATAGGTCATGTTCACTAGCAAGTGAACACTGAACACAGTGTTCAGCTCTTCTCTACACACAGAATTCAATTCTTTTTAAAATACAGAATTCAATCTTTTATATTTTATTCTTAACTATATATTTATTTATATATATATTTAATCCATATATGTAAAGCAACAAAATTAAATATTACAATAAGTTGTAAAAATCCTGTTATGTGACGATAATCTGATTTTCCCTCTAAAACTCTGTCAAATAAAAACAATAAAATATTTAACTAAAGTTGCACCTAAGCTGTGAATATAAATCTCTTCGAACGATCAATAATTTTGGGTGTAAAATAAATGGTGTTGTTGTTGTAAGCAGACACCGAATTGAGGGCAAGTATGTAAAAGGACAAGACATAGGCATTAGAATAATAAAATCGATATTGAATTTTTTCTGGGTTTATGTGAAGAACCTTGTCACCTTAACAGGCGGAGGTATAAATCAATTGTGCTCGATTTTGAGTACACAGATAGTCCATGTCATGTGGAGCAAGACTGCAGTTAGGACACATATTAGGGACAGATATATATGTGCGTGACAAATGACTGTTGGTCATTAATCAGTATATAACACATGGCTATATACTGATATCAGTTGAGAAAGGGTAGTTTTTGCTGCTTGAGAGACACGTTCTTCAACTCCACAGACATTAGCCAGGGAACTATTGGGAACTGTGTTTTTACACAACTGTGATATTGAAAAGAACAGTACCGAGTCGATATAGTCTTAGTACGAAACAAACAGGGTCGATAAATGCAACGTGATTGGAGGGCTCTGTTTGCGTAAGAAAGTATAAATTAAGTGTGTAGTAAATATTTTTAAAAATGACAAAATACTGATCTGACTATCATTCTAAAACCACACAAAAGGCCTTTAAGGTCATAGTGCATGCACAGTCTATCTATAATAATAATCATTGTAAAGAATTAGTTCATATAACAAGTACTCGTAAATCAAAATCTGAAATGATCTAATATTGTAACAGAAACATTAGAAGTAATTAAAATAGCAAACAATATAATATATATTCTTAATAATCTATAGTTTTAAAACTCATAAGATAAGGAGTTAAAATAGACTAATGACGGACGGGTAGAATTTTAATTTGTCTTGTTGAGATGAATTTCTTGGAACTTGCCATTAAATATAAAATCATCATTAAAATGCCAACAGAAATTCTATCTACTAAATGCAATACCCTAAACCTAAACCTATTTTTTCACAAATATGTTACTATAACGTATCAAGGGCCGCATGCAATAGATTATTTTTTGAAGCAACTCTATGCAAAAATTCATCAGATAGCATAAAAACTTGTTCATATATGAATCACTTTATTAAAAATTATTCTTATCTGTCTTTCTCATCTTTAATTATGGATTATATTAATAAATTTCATTTAAATTGAAATTATGACAAATTTTATACTTTAGTTTAGAAAAAACTATTGAATTATCGGCACAAAATTCATTTCATAGAACGTCTTTCTTTAGAAATTAATAAAATATATTGTGCGGGTCTGCATTGTAATCCGCATTGAGTTTCTGTATGCACTCGTATTTTCTTTGTGTTCATTAAATTTTGGAGTGTTCGTCATATATAGCTATTCTTAGTCTTGTAATCAAATCTTCAGTAAAAAAAGAAAGAAGTTGCAATTAAAAATAGAAATCCAGCTTTCCATTTGTAAATAAGACGTACGCAACTCTGTGCCGTCCATCTTTAACACAAGGCCTGTATCCCATTCATGTGAGTAGTAGCTTAAGGTAAATGAACGATCGATTTGTTGATTCTAGTGAATTAAGTACTTAATTATACAAATAGATTAACTCAAATTGTTTCAATTTCTTAAAATAGATACTGAGAAAACCTGAAAGTTACAAAATTTCGTATAAATTTTCCAACTTAATTTTAGACAAAAGAAAAATTTAAAAGAAAAACAATTTTTAAAGAAAATACACAATTTTAGAGGTCTGCAAATGAATCATTGTCTAATGGTTCATTAAAAAGTCATCAAAAACTTTTGCTAAAGTAGTTAAATCAGACATTGAAAGTATCCTCATTACAAAATAGACTTTCACATTTGTGGATATTTTAGTGTTTACTATATAAAGCATCTGAAATTATACTCATATATTATATATATAATTATAATTTGAAAAACATGCATAAAAGGTAACATCTTTAAAAAGCAGATGTATTTTTTATATTCTTTATATATAATTGTATTAGGCATGAATCAGCCTACGAATAATGTATGGAAGATTCCAGATACAATTAATGCTTAATTTAGCTCAAACATATACATATTTTAAATAAACAGCCAAAATACCAGCTAACAGCACTTTAAGATTGAAGTAAGTCCAATTTTCAAGATTATGTGCTAGGAGATTGAGATTTTTTATTGATTTCTCAACATTAAACTTGTAATCGGTACTTTAACACAACTTTAAAAAAAAGTATGTTTTAGTACCTTTTGACTATACCTGCCATACCTGTATATTTGATAGGAACGAAATAAACAAAAGCGGCGAACTTTCCTATCAAATACACAGATGTGGTTGGTTGTGCATTTCGCTTTGGATAAGTTCGCTTAAGTTCTTACGGTATGTACCAACTAACTGAGCCTTTAAGTGAAAACAGAATTTAAAGAATTATTTTTGCAGGTCTGTGTTATTATTAATACTGTTAATGTTAATTAAAAAAATAGAATATAAGCATTCTGATCACATCGTTGTTTGTCATTTTCAATGAAGTTATAATTCTCATTGATCATGGTTTATCGATTGTGGTACTATTTGCTTATTGGATTGTAGAAAACTTTACAAAAAAGATTCTTTGAATTGATTAGTCTAAGTTTGATACTAATATTTAATACAAATTCAGTTACTTGACGATGTAGATTAATATGTATTAAGAAAAGCAACAATACTTCTGTAGGATATGGTATCTAATCTATTCAATTACAACTATATTAAAGTTGTAGATCGATCGTAACAATGCACAAAAAATATTCATTCCAACATCAACTCGTTTAATTTAAAAACTAAAATTATTTTATATACAAACAAATAAATGTGAATTGTTTTAATTTTTGAAGAAAAGAAAATCATTTGAAAAAAATTAATGTGTAATTTTAATATACTTATTTTAAGACGGGTAAACACTTAAAAGATTTTTATAGTTTTCAATCAGTTCTGAGAACCTTTAAGGCGCGTATGTTCTTAATTATTCTTACAATTGATTTAAAGGAGTCAATCAATCTAGACATGTTTTGTCTTGAGGCCCTATGCTCCACTGGGAGATGAGGATAAGAGAGAAAGAGAGAGACATGCTTTGTCTGTCTTTCTACTCTTTAGTCTTCTGCCTTTAGTCTTTAGTTGCGATGTTTGACATTTTTTTAAATGTGAGAAATCGGTTTATGATATTCCGCATTCAAAATTTTTTGAATTTTTCTGATTTTCTGATTTTTTGAATTGTTAACAATCGAAATTTAGTTAAATGTGATCTGAGTTTTAGTTTGATAATCATTGGGCAATCAGTCCCAAAGAAAATTTCACTTTTTAAGAGTTTAAACTAGGTGCTTCTTCCACGGATACTCCTATTTCGATGCCTGCCCCTGTCAGCTACGGACGTAGGCTGATTTATGACCATTTATTGCGACAAGCAAATAGTGAGTGGATCCTTACTGCCTCAGCAGACAGGTCAAGGGCTACTTGGTCCATCTATTCCAAATATAGAACCTCTGACTTAATTTGTTGAAACAAATCTGAGGTATTTAGGCTAATATCTGTGTTTACGGGACACTGGTCCATAGGACGACATGGAGCTAGACTCGGCTAGACTCCCTGTGGTACCTCTTGGTGTGATGTGTTTTTGTCCAGGTCTGGCCAGAACTAGGTTTAAGCTTCTGGGGGACCCCTTCTTCAACTCACTTAGCGATATCTCCAGCCTTAGCATTAGCCGGATTCTTACCTTTGTTAATGCCTCTGGCTGGTTCTAGGTTAACCCTCTATCTACTATCCATTATTACGAGGTTTTTTTGTGGATTCAAAACGGCTTTTTTTAGCTAATTGGGGAGGATTCGTCCTCCCTTCATCACAACTAACTAATTCTTTACTATAGTTACTAATTAAAAATATAAATACTTTATTAATATTCTTTTAACTTTCAAAATATAAAATTACATAAATAAACTATGACTTTAAAAGAAAAAGTATTTTTTTCTTTATACATGCAATGTATAAATTTATTTTATTTTATTTAACTGTCTTCAATATAGTATCGTGTGTGTCTACACTATAGATAATAATAAATTTTAGTTTTGATTTCATCATTTTTGTTGTTTTACTTAAGTAATAAAATGATTGGATAAGCGTAAGCCCAGTTATCAGCTGTCTTAGCAACAATTTGTTATTACAATTCCACACAAAGGACAAAACCTTCGAGTTCCAAGAAGGATAAAAAAGCATGGCAACAAATTGCATTCAATTGTTGTATGGAAATGAAAGGAAATGTAGGTCAATAAAAATTTTGCACTTTTGGATTTTCACAACAACTAAATTGCCTAGCAAAAAAACTGTAGATACATATATACATGCACTTGTATCTTCAGTTATTGCATCTACATACGTTTTAGTATTGACTGAATAGCAAAAGGTAGAGCCAATTGTTGAATTTACTTAATGGAAAAATCCATATTTTCATTGATTTTGTATATAGTTTCGTTATTTGTAGTTTTACCCTAGATACGCTGCAGTATATAAACTTGACCGCATTTTGTGAATCCTGAAGTTATACTCTGTGTGCTTGTGTGTATCTGTACTCGACTTGCGCTCTTCAGCGGATGTCCTTCAACGTAAATATATATATACATATATATGAGAGGGTTAAATTAATATTAAAACTATTTACTACAACTATGTATATGCTGTAAAAAAAGAATAATAACTATTAAAGTAGTAGGAAACTATAATTACAATGTCATAATTATCTTTCAGCTCCTTCGACCGTGGTAAATTCAATTACGCTTGAAAATAAAATGTAAAATTCAAGTTCAGGAATAGGAAATCCCGGTTTCATAAATTTAAATTAATTTTAAATTTTAATTTTATTTTATAACTATCGCACATTAAATATATATATATACTAGATAACCCGACAAACGTTGTTTTGCCTTATTTCTTATTTCTGTTATTAATTATTTCTAGTTTCTAGATAAATTCTAGTGTAGACAAAAAGTAACTTACTTATTATAAGTGTGTAAGTATGTGGTATATGCATGAAATAGGCATGGACCGCTATGAACGAAAAGGAAAATAAAAATAACAAACGCCAAACAATATTATTTTTAAGTTATTATAGTTTATTTATTAAATTATTAATTTAAAATCAATAGATTTGTATGATACCAAGTTCCCTGGCAACAACTGTTGTATCTTCAAATTTAAATTGTCTTGGATTGACTGTAAATAATAATAATGATAATGGGCCAGTAACATTAACCAACAACAGTCGAAGATAAAAGCACTCAGTGTGTCTTGGATTAACTGTAAATAAGCGTTCGATTTAAATAAATTGAGACATGCATCAACTGGTGAAACTTGCTTGCGGGGCATCCATTTTTTTGTTTGAGCCCATGTGAAATAGCGTGGTACTTGTGAATAGAGTAATGTTCTTGCAAAGGCACCAAAATCATCCGTACTATTACACAATTAAAAAAATGCAGTGAGTGTAGATTTAGGTGGATTTGTACCACGATCAATCACTGTCTCGTTCGTGAAAAATACACGCTGACCGTTTTCAAGATGGACGGCTAACTGAACAGCTGCTGGATCCCGTTCATGAATTAGAAAACCGAAGATACGTCAAGCAGCTTCATTGGAACTGATGTACCGACCAATTTGGTAGAGCGTAATTTCACCGTTTTTGTTCATTGGAGGAGCATTTACATTAGTAAATGAGTTTTTACTCTAAACACAGCCATATCACTGGCTTTATGGACATACTTATATATTTGATGTTCTTCACAGAACTGCAAAACGCAACATTTATATGAGCATTGTATGTCTTGCTTAGCAGAGGCGAATACGGCACCACCCGCCATTGTCCCCTATTATCGGGATTTCTTCGACGATATATTGGATATCCGTCGGTATTTGTTATAGTATCATTAGTGAAATCTTTTGAAAAAATTTTAGTACATTTTCCATCTGCCATGCCAGGCGAAGACGAAGAAACGAAGTGGATGTAATGCTCGATGTACTTGTTGGCGTAGTTACATAAAATATTAAGAAAAAAATTTTTGTTTTTCAAAAATATAAACAACATTTATGTCAAAAAAATAAAAAATTTTTTGTCAAAGTAATAAGGATATTTTTGCTGGGTAGGGACTCCCTAATCACTTTAGCGGTATGAAAAATAGATAGTACCCGATTCTCAGACCTACTGAATACACCTATAAAATTTGGTAAAAATCGGTAAAGCCGTTTCGGAGGAGTACGGTAACTAACATTGTGACATGGAAATTTTATATATAAGACCGCAAACAGACATCGTTTGGCCTTGTGACTTATTGATGGTCTTTGCAAATGCCAATCTAATAGGAAATTGAACGCGTTTGAATTAAATTGGCTTGTCTGTGAGAATCATTGGAATTCATGGCAATAAAAGTTTTTCGTTTCGGAACTTGCCATTCAAAATGGTGGCTTCGATAATGTTTTTCATCAATTTTTTAATTACCAATCGCGTACTATTGCATAGCCGTGGTGGGTTCAAATTCCGAAGTAAAATAATCGGTGATCCAACTTTCAGTCGTAAAATGTGTGGTGGCATGCCTGGCAAATCAGGTGAGTTTAAAAACTCTGCTGGATAGTTTACAACTTCGTTGGTATCACAAACTGTATCGATCGATTTGTATGATATTAAGTCGCCTGGCAATGTCTGTTCTAACTTGAAGTTTAATTCATCAACGTCCACGTTTTTTTTGCTGCTAATGGCTCTTTCTCCCAGCCACCCATGATTTATGTATTGTATGTGTACATCTGGAAATACGCGGTCAATGAGAGCATTTTGGGAATCAACGATAGTGCAGAAATTAGGGGGCAGTTTTATGAATTCAGTATTTTCATAGACAACAACTTTTCATATCATAGCAAGTTTTCTTTTTAAAAATATAAAAAAATTTATGTCAAAAAAATAAAAAAATTTTTATTAAAGCAATAAAGATATTTTTGCTGGATAGGGACACCCTAATCACTTTAGCGGTATGAAAAATAGATAGTAGCCGATTCCCAGACCTACTGAATACGCATATAAAATTTGGTAAAAATCGGTAAAGCCGTTTCGGAGGAGTACGGTAACTAACATTTAGACAATGTTAATTTTATATATAAGAT